ACTTGATCTCACTTCCCTTTAAACTCTGTTCTAGTTCTAGCCTTCACAGCCTCCTGCAGCAAGGAGTTCCACAGGTTGACTCTTTGCTTTGTGAAGAACAACTTTCTGTTACTAGTTTGAAGCCTGCTACCCATTCCTTTCCCTTGGTGTCCTCTAGTCCTTCTCTATGGGAACTAATGAAGAACTTTTCTTTATGCACCCTCTCCACACCACTCATGATTTTATAGACCTCTATCCTATCCCCCCTCAGTCTCCACTTTTCTAAGCTGAAAAGTCCCAGTCTCTTTAGCCTCTCTTCATATGGGACCTGTTCCAAACCCCTGGTCATGTTAGTTGCCCTCCCCTCTCCCACCCTCTCTCTTCCCCTCTCCCACCTCCTTTTCCAAGTCTCCCCCAGTTTTGTTCAATAAAGACATATTCCATTTTTGAACACAATTGTCCTTTATTTTGTACATCAAGAAGAGGGACTAGGAAAGGGTAAGTGGAAGGAGGTGAGGGAGGAATGGGGTACGCGCCCCCAATGGGGAGGACTGGCCTGGCTCTGCGGGCTTCTGGGGGTGGAAGCTCTCCTGCAGCCCCCCCCCCCCCCCCCCCCCCCAGATGGCAGCCGGCGGCAATTGCAGCCGGTCTGATGGCCGAGTGCTGTGATGTGCCGAGCATGGGCATTCAGGGCACTCCAAGCCAGGACTGCTTTGCTGTCCCTCATTGAGTTAGACAAGCGAGCAGGGAACCCCTGAGAACTGTCTGTCCGGGGTGGGGGTTGGGTCCCTTTAAGCACAGCCCTCGGCTAGCCTGAGACAGCACCTCCACGCTCTAAGTCCTAATCTGATGCCCTGCTGGCACTGCTTCCGGCCATCCTTAACCCCGCTTCAGGGGCCACTCAATGTGGACATGCTTGTTCGAACTAGTTTTTAGGGCTAGATGCGCTAATTCGAATTAGCTTAGTTTGAATTAACTAATTTGAATTAAGTTAGTTCAAATTAGTGCTGTAGTGTAGACATACCCTTCTTTATCACAAAGCTTAATACTTTCAAGTGCAGTTAAAAGTGGCAATGTAGCCTCTGGTATTATAGTATCTTGTTGGTTATAGGTATAGAATCTTCACTTTACTGCAGTTCTCACTGGGTCCCCTGGTGTAGAGCAAGATCTATCATTAATGCAAGACTTTTTTATGCTGATTACTCTGAGCACTGGCATAGGGAGTCACGGACTGGAAAGGAGTCTAAAAAAATGTTATGAAAAATGAACAGTCACAATATCTTGTCACACAAATGTTAAACCTCTGGTAATTTGCATTGGTTATACATTTTGTTTCCCACTCCCCTTTCAGGATAAAAGATGATTTCTTCTGCTTCCTATTTATGGCATACACTTGGCAATGAAATAATTTAAGTATCCATTATTTCACAGTGCCTAGCAGCAAAATAGTTACATTTAAAAACTCAGTGAGTGAAGCTTTATGCTTTCAGTGACCCTGGAAGCATGTTATCTCCTAGTAACACAAGCCTTGGAGTGGCTTAGTGCAATTATAAAACAGCATCCCAACATACATGGTTTAACAATTCATTGTAAAAGTTTTACGGTTTGTGAAGATAAGTACAAAATTAATCCCTGTAGAACAAAACAACTAAAAAAGTACATAATGAAGCAATTAGCTATAAGGGAGAGAAAAACATTGACAATTTAATATGGAAAGGTTCTTTACATGTATTACTTTTTCCAGGAGGGCACTGTATAATTAATGTGAAGCCAGGCCTGTGAGGCAATTAATGAAGACTTCAGAAGTAAGATTTAAGGAATAATGTACATTTTAGAAATTGAGAGCCAACTCTTGCTATATTGAACCCTTTCATTTTTCTTTTAACAATCTTTTATTTCTTCCTTTTCTTCTTGGGGTATGTCTACACTACCCTCCTAGTTCGAACTAGGTGTATGCATACCGCACTTGCATTTCCCGGGCTTCATTAGCATAAGCGGGGAGCCGCCATTTTTAAATCCCCGCTGCTTCGAACCCCGTGCAGCGCGGCTACACGGGGCTCGAACTAGGTAGTTCGGACTAGGGTGCCTATTCCAAACTACCGGTACACCTCATTGGGTATGCATACATTACCCCGCTTGTTCGAACTAGCGGGGTAGTGTAGACATACCCTTGCAGCTTACCATTAGAATTTTCTGCATGGGAGTGAGAGCAGTTATTGTCATAAACACATGTAAAACTTGGTACCAAATAATAGGGAAGGCACCAGGACATAAAGACATGGAATAGTCTCCCAACCAACCATATCACTTGGGTTGTTTCATACTAAGGAACAATCCTGTGAGGGCAAAGTAATGGACTATCTAGTCTAAATGATCTTTTCAACCCTAAATGCTCTGATCTAATGTTTATGAATGCTGCTTCAAGCTGCCACTAGCACAGAACAGAGTTTCACTTTAGTGCAAAGTTTTTGGTAATGCCCGCTTACTCTGTTAGGGTACGTCTACACTACAGCGCTAGTTCGAACTAACTTAGTTCGAATTAGTTAATTCGAACTAAGCTAATTCGAACTAACGCATCTAGAACTAAAAACTAGTTCGAATTAGCGTTTTGCTAATTCGAACTAGCAAGTCCACATTGAGTGGACTCTGAACAGGGCTTAAGGATGACCGGAAGCAGTGCCGGCAGGGCATCAGACGAGGACTTAGAGCATGGAGATGCTGTCTCAGGCTAGCCGAGGGCTGCGCTTAAAGGGTCCCGACCCCCCCCCCGGACAGACAGTTCTCAGGGGTTCCCCGCTTACAAACCAGTCCTGGCTTGGAGTGCCCGAAGTACCCACACTGGGCACATCACAGCACTCGGCCATCAGACCGGCTGCACTTGCCGCAGGCTGACATCTGGGGAGAGGGGGCAATCGGAGGGC